CCTGTTGCATCTCCTCCTACATGTCCGCATTTTTGATCACCGCCTTTCGGTCGCACATGGTTGGTTACCGCGGAGCAGGCACTCAGCGTCTGCGATGGCTTTCTGGGGGAGGGGTTAGAGCGACTCAAGCCCCGCACAACCTGCCGCCGCTCCCGAAGCCGTGGCGCATCTCATTTAAATTGTTTTTGATAGAAAATTCACAAAACCTCATCAACAAAACTATTGGCCATTTACCAGATCATGACATCCCTTTTACTTTTAAACGTATCATTTACAGAAAATAGTTTTGTGAAGTTGCCTAGAATGTTGCCAAAGTAGAAGTTAAAAAGTGAAACAAACATAAAATATTCCACTCTCTCTGTAGCCAAACAAGATGTAAATAAGTCTTCTTACTCTGGGGACTAGGACAGTTGAATATGTTATAATGTAAACTCATTTTCCCTCTGGCCCTACCCATACTCTGCAAAAGCTTTGTATTACTCTTTTTTTTTTAATCTAGAAAAATTGTGTGAAGCATCTGAAAATCATCAGAATTCAGTGTTTACAAAGGAATAGTTCTGGGTGGGCATCTTTTTGGACCTCTGTCATCTAATCATTAGTAAGATCACACCATATATTCTACTCTCTAACTTCCTCTTTTAAAATATTCTACATTTACATAGATTTATTTTAAAACCAAGGAACTTACATATACATGTGTATATGTATGTTGATACAGTTGCTCAGTCAGTTGGATATTATAGTATAAGTATACAGTAGTGCTGCAGTCTAATTTAATTACCTTTGTTGCTGTTAAGGATCATTGAGTCAGAATCAACCCATAGCTGACCCTCCAGTGTGTTTTCAGAGGCTGTTAATCACACAGGAGAAGATTAACCATCTTTCTCCCATGAAGCAGATGATTATTTAAACCATGTTCCTTCAGGATTACAGCAGAGCTTCTTGGCACCATGTACTGGTGGCCACCAGTGCTCCTTATAATTACTTTTAAGTATACTTTTCTCCCTAGAGCAAAGTCTTGTAAATAAACTAATGAAAATAAATATTGTTGATATTATGATCAACTAGAAAACCAAGTCTGTCCCAATTCATAACAGCCTCATGTGGAAGAGTAACACTATACTCCTTAGGGTTTTCTGTGACTGTTTTTGGTTGGTTTTGTTTTGGTTTTTTGGTGGGTTTTTTTAGTAATTTTTAGTTTTTAATAGTTTGCATACAGTCATTTGACTTAATTTTTTAAAAATATATCCTGATCTTTCTTCAGAGGTACCTCTGGTGGATTCAAACCACTAACTTTGCAGTTAGCAATGAGCAAGCACATTACCTATTAATTCCAACCAACAACTCCTTACATTTTTATTTTTATTTTACTCATGTTTTGAGATTGTTTTGGCTTTTTAATCTGTTGCATATTGCCTTTCTGAAAGGCTGCATCAGCTTACTTTCTCTTCCCTGATTGAGCAATGTTACTAAGATGAGACTTAAATTTTTCCACTGCTGGTAGGTGCTGTCAGGTCAACTATGACTCATAGCAACCCTGTGAACAAATCTGAACCTTGTCCTATCCTGCGCCATGCTCATGATCTCTTCAGTGCTTGAACACATTGTGATAGTCCATTGTTTCAGTCCACCTTATTGAGGGTCATCCTTTCTTTGGCTGACCCTCCACCTTTTCCAGCATGATGTCCTTTTACAAGGACTGGTCCCTTCCGAAAACATGCACAATGTATGTGTGATGCTGTTTCTCTCTCTTTGCCTCTATGCCCCTAAAGAGCACTCTGATTGTACTTCTCAAATGTTTAATTTTCATTTTTTATTGCCAATTTTCATTTGTTTTAAAAATTGCTTTTCACCATTTCTATTTATTTCTTTGGGTTTAGTTTTTATTCTCACGGGCTATTGATAAATTTTGTTGTTGTTGTTGTTATGTGCCGTCGAGTCGCTTGTGACTCAGCAACCCTATGCACAACAGCCCTAAACCTGCTCTGTCCTGCGCCAACCGCACCGCCTCTGACACACCCATCCCGATTACCCCAGTCACCGAATCAATCCA